CAGAAGACTTCATCAGTCTGCAGCCTGCCAACCAGATCTGTCCCATAGGCCTTCACTGTTGTTTCAAGCAAACCTCCTGGTGGAATCTCAGAAGAAGGCTTTTAACACTTTCAAAAAAGGCCCAACCGTCCAAGACAATCAATCATGATTTATAACAATCAAATGTTTTAGGCCAGTTGGCCAACTTCCTACTAAGAATAAGTATCAGTTCATGTAAGCAACAGCCCGAACGCCAAACAGCAGATTGAGACAAGTCAAGGGTCCAAAGTTAGTGAGACTGAAAAATAGAGCTGTCATTTCTAACCCAAACCCAGAGCTCGGCCCGAATTAGGGCTTGGTGTCTGGCTTTTTATTGCGTCAGCAGATGCACGCAGCTGATGATCCAATTATATGGCAACATGGCTTGCCATACATTCACCGGCCATTTGACCGCGCTTTGACTGGCCTTGAAAGAGGTAAAAAAAAAAAAAAAAAAAATCAGTTAAAGTAAAGAAAAACATTCAAACAAATGAGACATCTTTGTTCTTTCCTTTAGAGGGTGGTGGTGTAATTTAAAAGAGATTCGGATGCTGCACTCAGCGGACGCATGTGGCCGACAACCCAAACAGGTGAGATCCTAAAATATTCGACATGTCAGAGCAGGGTCCGTGTCTGAATAATGCAGAATGCAGGCAGAAGCAGGGATTTAATGTGCTTTGATGGCCATGAAAGGACAAACACCCGCTCAGCTCTGATCTTCTACCCCATTTAAATCAACCGCGCGCATCCGTCGACCATTAAAAACTATATAAGCAGTCAAAACTTAATTAAAAATGTCGGGGGGGGTTCGGACCTGTAATTACCAGTACTGTTAATTCGTCAGGTCGGGTAAGGTTCGAAAATGATGGCTACGGGCTGGGGCCGGGTCGGGTCGGATTTTTGGGACCGAATGCAACTCTACTGAAAAAGCTGCACTTTGACCCCCCCCCCGCCCCCCAGCCATCCTTTTCGAACCTTACCCCACCCGCCCAATTAACAACACCGGTACCCACACCCCCCACCCCCCCCCCACACACACACACACACACACAGACACACAACCCACACAGACAAACATGTGCACACACTCCTTATCAATCACATTAACCATTCATATCCTCTGGTGTGTTCCCTCCTTACCATCCATCCATCCATCCATTATTTATCTAAGGTAAGGTAGCCAGCTAATTGGGATGAGCCTTCATTTCGTAGCAGTCTCCCATCCAATCCATTATCTTTACCTACTTCTTCCGTTTCGGGTCACGGGGGTCACTGGTGCCCATATCCAGCAGTCACTGTGTGAGAGGTGGGGGACACCCTGGACAGGTTTCCAGTCCATCCCAGGGACACATAGAGACAAACAACCATTCACTCTCTCACTCACATCTAGGGACAATTTAGAGTTACTAGTCAACCTAACATGCATGTTTTTGGTCTGTGGGAGAAAACTGGAGGACCTGGAGAAAACCCACGCATGCAAAGAGATAACATGCAAACTCCACCCAGAAAGGACCTCGGTCGGGATTTGATCCAGCGACCTTCTCGCTGAGAGGTGGCAGCCCTACCGAGTGCGCCACCATGCCACCCTTCCCTCCCTTACCTCCCAGGATAAAATCTAACACCCCTCAAAATAACCTGGAGCCTTCAACAGGATGGCGAGGCTCTCATTCAAACCATTTTTATAGAGATAAAAGGCAATTACCAGTATTCTTTAGGGTTAATTTATGGTAAACTGCTAAAGGTGGTTTGTTTTCATCTGTGGTGTAATCCTAAATTAATCAGCTGAGATGCCACAGGCAGATTTTTACGGACGGCACTGTGTTTAACTCTGTCGACTGCTGCACCTGGTTAGCATTGTGGTTTAGAGGTGCTGCCTCTGGAGCCCCCCCCCCCCCTTTTTTTATTAAGTTCAAACACAAACAGACACATGTGGGGTTAAAGAGGTATGAAAACACAAGTGTCCATGGGACTTCCCTCAGCCTGGGATTCACGCTGCATGTTGTGTACCCACTGATGCGGGGTCAGATTTCCACAACCCTTGTTAGAAACAGCTGACCCTGTGTCATGTTACACATTAGAAAACATCTCTGTGTGGGTGTGGGTGTGTGTGTGTGTGTGTGTGGGGGGGGGGGGGGGGTGTCTGTGAATCTGCTCTTCCAAAGCAGGTGGTACCTTACCGGACGAACCCAGGAAGTAACGTTCCAGAGGAGAGCTGAATCCAGAGGGAGTGTCCTTCATATCTCTGATGATGAAGGGCTGCATCGTGATATTTAAATCATTTATTGGCCACGTTTGACCGCGGACACTGGCACCGCCGTACCAGGACACATTTGCCATGGAGAAGCAGTCCTGACAGAAAAATACATACAGATACAAGCAGTCAAAAACAGAGAGCAGTATGAATTGCAACAAAAGATGAGTATTTTGTAGTAGCATAAAACATGAAATAATTCATAGAAATGCTAAGATTAGAATTAAAGTCCTTGCATTCCTTGAAGGAATGCAAATCACCTGACACCTTTCCTGCCAGAGTTTTAGACTAAGATCTTATTAAGATGAGAAATGAGAGTATTGTGCATTTAAACAATTTTCACCTTAAAATAACATCCCAGTCAATTTCAGACAGTAATCACAAGACCTCACACTCAGAGTGCATGTTGTGAATGACTCTCAGCTACAACCAAATCAAATTCATATGTATGTGTCAAACTGACAGAAATATAGCCATTTTTATGTCGTCAGCGGGCTGTGGCAGCCATATTGAACTGGATTGACTTAAAAAGTAAGCAGTTGTAGATATACATTAAATAATTACTTTTTTAAAGTTTAATGAAAATCCATCCACTGGTTCATGGTATATTTTACTACCAGAGTTGACTGTTCGTATCGGACTCTGACACACACATACACACACAACTCATGATAGACTATGACACACTCACGATGGACTCTGACACACACACAATCTAAATGTGCTGTACTGTTTGTGACTTCTTTACTCGTACGTTTTTGCAATCTGCTCAAATTGTTGCATTTTTGCACCTTACACCGTTTTTATCTCTGCTGCTATAAATAAAAAAAAGTAAAACTTTACACTGCTAATCACATATCAGAACGTCCTACCTCATGTACCACCTACACATGTACGAATCAACATGTGTCTCTAGTCTTGTCTCTTAATTACTTGTTTAAATGTTTAGAGATTAGATGCCTTTTTGCATTTATTATACTGTAGGTCTGTTTGTATTTATCGTACTGTTGCGTATCTGCACTGTGTGTTGTACTGTTTTTGCACTTTATGCTGTTGCACCGTGATCATTTCAATATGTCCTGATACATAGCTGAAATGACAATAAAACCTCTCTGACTCGGACTTTAGGTCGTTAATGGAAGCATTTAAATAATGAATTTGCCTAATTTCATAGAGCTCAGAATATGTTAGAAATGAGCCTCAGTTAAAACACCGAGATCATTTTTTAAATACCACATAAAAACGTTTATAAATCATATATTTAGAAGTGACTTATGTTTCACATTTGTTTCAGGTAACATCAGTCTAAGGATGGAGTGACATTAGTGGGAACTTAAAGCGTGGAAGTGCTGTGCTATGCTGGTACATGAGACTGTCTAAGAAAGCATGGCACGCAGGAGGGATTGGATGATGGAGGATTTTCTAAGAGAAAGCTTCTCTGTGAAAATGGGCAAACTGGGAGCTCATTTATCAACAAATCTGAGCTCTGCCAACAACAAATCACCTGAGAGGCTCGGGTGCAGGATTTTGGAAATTAGAACAATAAAAAGGCGACCTGGAAAGATTTGCTGTGAGCCACATGACGAGGCGTTATGGCCAGGAATGTTTCAGTGGATCGGGATAACTCCCACAAAATTAACAAAAATTAATTGCCTTTGTTAACTAAACAGGACTGAGGGGTGTTACAACAAGTAGCTTAACGTGCATGTCAAAATTATGGGTCAAGGCAAAACATTTTTGAAAAGAAATTTGAGCGCAGTGAATCAAGAGTCCAATTTGTCTTCATTTAAAAAGGATGCTAACGAAGTGGGTATCTAAATGCCAAACCACAAAAAAAGAAATAAATTGATGCACATTTCAAAGCCTCAACAGAGCTTCTGCTTTAATATAGGCACACAATTTAAAGCAAATTTTAGGCCAATTTAAAACAAATCCAATTGGAGAGGAATATTCCATGTGCCATTCCAATGTAAACTTTCATAAAAGGGTGAAACTATAATTAACCCCAAATAAATTATATTAGTGGTGTGAAGCAAATGGAGCAAATAAGCATACATTTGCGCCTGAACAGGAAGCAAACAGAATAAAATCCGTTCAAATGGTGACTTTTGGGGCTTTACGCACAGCTTTTTCTTTACCTTTAACTCCACATGACAGTGCACGGGCGTCCACGTCATGCTGTAGCACTCCGTCTCCGTCTCCTCATTCACCTCCAGCGAGATCTTCACCTCGGCCACCGAGTCCCAGGTGTAGCAGAACTCGGTTTTGTTCAGCCAGCACAGGTTCCTCACGAAGGGAACCTCGATGTCGGGGTTCCCCACGTTCCCCACGTCTATCTCCACGTAGGTCATGTCCTCCGTCAGAGTCTGTATGACCAGAGAGTGGGTCCTTCTCTCCCAGATCAGTCCGCTCAGAGTTCCCCTGAGGATCCAGTTTTTGTTGGGCTGGTCCACCACTTGCCAGTATATGATCCCGATGGTCATCACAAAGAAGACGGCCACCCCCAGGCAGGCTATAGCTCCTTTCCAGGTTTCGTTCATCTCCTTCAGTCCCGTGTCCCATGTTACCTCTGGGATGGGACTCGGGTTCCTATTTCGAGCGTGTGGCATGTTTTTTTTTTTTTTTTTTTTT